AAAAAAAAAAAAAGACGAGAGCTAGCTACTAGTTATGTCCACCACGGCCCCCTCAGCCTGCCCAATCCGTCGCAGGCCTCGCCTATGCAAAACCTGTCTCCCCTGCCGAGCCAGTAAAGTGCGCTGCGATCGCAACCTGCCGTGCGGGAACTGCGCAAAGCGCAACTTCACCTGCTCCTATAGCCAGGCGCCGCTGTCCACTGGCGCGACGATACCACATCTACCACCACAATCACAATCACAATCACAACAACCACCGTCTACATTACTGCCGTCGCTGCAGCAGCATATTATACAGAGAGAGATATGTCCGAGGAACAACCCGTATCCTAGCGTGACTGTAACGCCGTCGGACACGTCGATCCCGTCGGCCCGGTTTACGCCCGATCAGAGTCGGTTTCAATACGCTGCTGGGAACTATGAGGCTGGGATGGATTGCGATGGGGTTGTGGGGGACGATGAGGGCGATGACGATGACGAGGATGAGGACGATCCGTCGGATACGGTGAATATCTCGCAGGCGGAATGGGAGGATATACATACGAAGATGGGCGCGATGGAGCAGATTCTCAACAGTCTGCATTTGCTATTCCAGTCGCATTCGGGGCGTCGTTGCAAAGGTCCTGAACCTCCACCACCACCACCACCACCGTCGACATCCTCACCCTCTACATCATCGATTAAAGAATCGCCACCGGCAAAGACAGAGACGGACAGAGAACGACGGCACTCCCCGCAAGTTGGAAATATCTTTCGACCAAGTCCGTTACTGAAAAAGGGTACTATACATATTGGTCCAAGGTCTGCGTTGGTGGATATCTTCAATAAGTCGAAGACTTCCGATGACACGGCCCGGGCATTGCCAAAGGATGATCTGCTTGCGGAGTTGGCGCTGGGGAATCAGTCTGTTGCTTATCCGTTTGTCGATCTTTGGTCGTCGGACCCGTTTACGTTTAATATTGTTGCAGTATGTGATGTGTTACCGGTGGATGTGCAATGTCATAGGTACAACTTTATTCCTATCTCTTTTTTTCTGGACTGCTTGTTAATGCGTGTGTCAACAGATTTTTCGATTACTACAAAAATATCGGCGCTGTTTTATACCCCGTTCTTTCAGATATCGCTCAAGTCGAGCAAAGTGTACAGCAATTACTACGGAATCGCGCAGCAGCTGGAGGAGGATACCATCCAGATGATAATGGCCTAGTGAAACCGTTTGGTATGAGTTTGGGCTTTTTGAGTCTTCTCTTTGCCATTCTTGCCTCTGGTTGCCAGTTGTCTGATCTGTCTGCCAGTGAGCGGGAGTTGACTTCGTGGGTTTATGGTTTGTGTGCTGTTCCTTTGCATGGTATATTTGGAAGCTGATTGTTGTTAGTGTCTTGCTCGTATCAGTGCTTGCGGATGATGAATTATGTCGCGCAACCCACTGTAGAGGTTATACAGATCTTGTTGATTATTAGCAATGTTTTGTCGTATAATATGAATGCCGGCGCCTCGTATACCCTGCTTGGTGAGTTCTCCTCGTTTGTTATTGTAGTGACCGCGTAACTGACTTGGAAAAGGAATGACGGAGCGAATGTGCATGGTCCTCGGTCTTCATGTTGAAACGCCAGGATTTTCGCGGTCTGAGCAAGCGGTTCGCAGAAAAATATGGTAAGACCTCATACCTCATCTGGCTCAAAACGTCGTGCTCACACAATTGTTCAGGTGGACGATGGCTTTCCAAAACAGCCATTTCTCGCTAGCCTATGACCGACCATCTATCACCATGATTAGTCAACCAGAGATACCATATGACCGTAAATCGATGCCCGGACATCGGTCGTATTTCGAGTCACTCTGCCGGGTAGTGTTGCTAGCACTCGAAGTGCTTCGAAGACGGCTAGACCCGGAACATTCCCATGTCCGATATCACGATATCCGCGAATATAAGCAGCGCATGCATCGCATTCTGGCAGAAGCTGCCCCGCACTTGCGATTCGCAGACCGTTGCGCCACAATAGCTGATAACATAGAGCGCACCGAGTTGCGACTGCATTCGTGTTACCTGATCTCCGTGCTGTGTCGGGTTTCGCTGGACCCAGACTCGCATCTGGACGGCAATCGCCGCGCCTTGGTTCGTGAGGACTGTATAGCGAACCTCATCGGGACTATCGAAGCATTCGTCGAGCTACACTCGATCAACCACCATTGTTCGCGCTCCTGGATCAGCGTACAGCGCGCAATCGCATGCGCATTCCTCCTAGTCGCCCATGACGGCCAATCCCACCCCCAAACACGTTTCCTAATACAAAAGCTCCAAGACGTTCTCGCAGACCACGTATACGCCGACGGCGCAGTAGCCCACAACAGCCGCACCGACTCAGCCAAACATCTGGCAACCTCCCTCCGTGCCCTCCGTGAAATCAGCGCGGCGTTCCAGGCACGACAAATGCGCACACCTCCTGATAGCGGCGTTGTGTCCAAGTCGGATACTCCCAATATAACCGTGACGGTGCCGGCGACTTCAGGGTCGATGATGGTTAATCCGGGTATGGCAGCACCTGCAATGCCGGGATACGGCCAGGACCAGAGTTATGCCCCCATGGAATACGAGTATCCAGATATGCGCAATATCCTGGACCAGGTTTCAGATGTCATGTTGTTTCCGAGTATGTCGGAATTATAGATTTCTTATTAGTATATACACTTTTGCACAGATGATATCCTCATTAGCAGGACCGAGATAAGAAGCAACGATTGAACGACGTTTCTCGAGCAGCACTTAAATAGCGTTCGTATGTGAGAGTAGTAGAACTCGTGAGCAGAGCAGGAGGTGAGGAGAATAAATACTAGAATACTAGCCTCTCAACTTCGGCCGAGATAAGACCGGTCCGAGTGGGGTTCTGTTTCGGAATCGGCCGAGTGGAGTTAGGCATTTAAGTCCTTCTTGTTATCAGATTTGTTGGTGACTGAGGCATTTATTTGACATCCAACTATCATATCTGTGTATATGTACTCCGTAGTTGGGGCTGCGCTGGTATTCATGCTGCAATTCTACACTAGTACCTCAACAGTTAGTCTCTATCATGTACTTCGTACACTTTGAAAGGTTATCCCACCTTGGTGAAAAGCCTCATTGCTCAAGGTGAATGAATAAGCTGAGAAGAGAGAATAGACAACCACTGGAAGTGCCAGGAGAAGCAGTCACATGATAACAAAGCAATGGTGGTAGTCTGTTTGTATTGAAGAGCACCCTTTTTATCATCTTCCATCTTCCTAGTACTATCATCGCCTAGTTGGAGACCCATCGCCATCATCTACAGTCACCCGCTACGGTATAGCACTATCTAGCTTACCAAATCCTGCATCTGAGTTGATACTGCTGTCAAGGTATCGAGAAAAAGATGGAGATTCTTCACAATCTACCTCCTGAGATCTTTGACGCTGTCATCGAGTCCTTGGTCGTCACGATTGGCATCGTCAAGGCACTCCGGCTCAGAGTGGTGAACCGTATCTTTAGCTTGCCCATAATATAGAAGCACCAAGGAGGGCTAATAACTTGCTTCAGGAAGGTTCGACTCTGCTATCTTATTTGCAGTCTTTGTTCGTCAAGTCGTCAGCATCTATGATCCGGCCACCCGGTCTCTAGAATGCCAGATGCCGCCGTCACTCAAAGGAAGAATCCTACTTGCTACTTCATACACCAGCAAAGCTACTAAAGGTACCTTGTCATTTGTCATATACAGTGTCAACCGTGCACTGGACGACTTGACCCAGCCAAGTGATGAACAGCGATCCGGGCAGCATCGAATGATTAGTGAAGCCGTTTCACACTTGAAAAAGTTCCAGCTTGATAATATCAACGAGGAAGGGCAAGACGTGGGTGAAGAAACAGAGGCACACAACGTCTTCTGTGGTGCCATTGTTATCGGTAACCTCCCACTAGTCAAGTCTTTGCTTGGCTCCATGCTTCTTGACTCTGTCAACCGGATAAATCCCTACTTTGGCATACATTTGTCCATTGCTGCGGCCTGGGGATACCTTTATATTGCTCGATATCTCCTCATATGCGGCGCCAACCCTGCGCGCGTTGTCAATATTCCAATTAGGCGTTGGGTACCAGACCCAGCCTTGAAAGACTTGGATCTTCCCGTGGGTAAGTACATATACCTAGACCCAATTGGTAGTGCACTGCAAGCTGCTGCACTAGCAGGCCATGATGATATTGTCCGCTTGCTCGTGCCGTATTCTCAATCCCCCGCGACTTGGGAGGAATATTATCTAGCGTTTCAGGCCTCGGCCCGCGGTGGCCATCTCACTATTATCAATATCCTCCTTCATGCTGTTGGAAAAATTATCCATGAACTGGGCTGGCAGCATTATCAAATGCTATGGCAGGCCGTTCGCCATAACCAAGAAGCCATGGTGCAGATGCTACTAGACCATGGCATTGATGTGAACATGGTTCCATATTCGGGGCCGCATGCCCTTAATATTGCCGCGGCACAAGGCCATGAACAAATGGTTCGCTTGCTCCTGGATCGCGGCTCTCACGTGCACCTGAGCGAGGGCCTTGGCTTGTCACCCATCAAGCATGCTGCTGCAAATAGGCACCAAAAAATAGTTGAGATACTACTCCAACTTGGCGCGAACCTTGACGATGCAGTTATTTCTTCTGCAAGCAGTGGCCAGGCTCATTTACTGAAATATCTCCTGCTACATAAAAACGTGGATCTTCACAAGCCGCTGGATAAAGCCACTGTCGGGGTACAAGCACTTCACCTTGCACTCACCAACCGTTGCCTGGCCACTAGCTCCATTTTACTTGATGCCGGGGTCCTGGACAATTACTCAAATCTCGTTGACCAACTAGAAGTACTGCCCGCAGAAATCGGGATAGGAAACTCTGCAGGTGATATATTTGGCGCAGATGGCAAAATTCATATAGAACATGTTTGAGAATTGGTTCAACAAAGATCCGTGGAATCCGCCGCATGTAAACGGGATCCAAGTCAGCAAGAGAACATGGCAATGGGCGGGGAGATACTAACGGTTTGGCTTGCAAGCCCTAGCTATTTGAGATACATTATGCGATTACCTATTGTGCTTATTCTAGTGCTTATATGAGACTACAACTAATTACAAGACTGCTCTATTTGTCTAGGACGCCAATGCTATTGATCTTATGGACCATATTTCATGTACGACGGCGTATTCGGAGCCCAGCACTTTCATCCCCCTAATCCAAAAGGACCAACTCCACGTCTTCTTCGGGGGCCGCTATCTAAACTTGATGACAACCTCAACAACACTTCCATCAACAGCGGCGCCCGCACGATCCCCAGCGGATGGAAATAGCTCGAGAAGGCGGGCTTCGACACTGTTGACGGAAGTCCCAGGAAACAGCAACCAGCTGTACTTTTTTCCGGGGCTTGAAGTATGTCGGTGGACAATTCCACGGATGAGATTATAAACGGACCTTCGCCTATTTTGGATGGATGGTTGAGTCTTGCCGAGGCTGGGTTTGATGGTGTTGATGTTATTGTGGAGAGTCCTGGTGGTGGGGATTTGTACTATGTTTTCTGTGAGGACAAGTGTGCTAGGGTCAAGGTTGACAGTTCCCGTAAGAATACGCTCAATTTGTCGGCTAGACTATTTCTGGGAAAGTTTTCGCTCTGTATCTACCCTGTTTTTCTACGCAGTCTTTTGCACAGTCTAAAAGTGCTAGAAAACCCTGATCAAGCTACTGAGATCCAACAAAGGTATGCTCAAACAAAAATATCTCACTTTATCATACCTAGTATCCGTTCAACGCGATCTTTCTGCATCCGATTCGAGCTCGCTGCGGAGACATTGACCGTAGAAGTTGACCGAAATGATACCTCAAGAGTCTAAATCGCCAAGAGAACGTGGCAATGGGTAAGAATTTACCAAAAGACCCATAAAAACCTCATCGCACAATAGTAATCCAGACCCAGCCCAATGTCCCCATCAGGAAACTCCGGCGACGACTGAACGATAGCCGAACGAACAGGAACACCAGGGCCGTTAAGGCCCGATCCGCAGGACGACAACGAGTGGTAAGAGGGACATTCGTCTGAATATTGCGATTCTTTTCTTCTAGAATAGTGGTGTACCAGGGTTCGGGTTGGAGATGGGCCAGTTTTTCCGAAGTATAGCGGCGCTCTGAATGGATGGCGGGAAACGGAGATGACTCCCGTCCATGGATGTCTTCTCCGTTACTCCTTTGGGTAATTGGTATACGTGCGACAGTAGCAGGATCCGATCTGCGGGTTTAGGACTGAAGAGCCGAGTCAGGGCTTGGGGCTGAGGAGAGAACGGCGTTTCGAAAGTTAAAATGGGGAATTCGGGGGTTGCGTTGGAGAGGGAGGTTTGGGTATAAGTTGGCGCCTTTTTTCTGTTCATTTTTTCTTCTCTTTTTGTGTAGAAAGTGAAAATTTTGTTCATAAGTTTCAATCTCATTATGAGCATCTCCAGATTTGCTACGCTCGGAGCCCTGGTCAGCCTCGCGGCCGCCTGGCTACCAGAGACCAACAAGCAAATCACAGCCAACAATGGCACAAACCTCTTTTCCAAGTCCAATGGCAAAATCCGCGGCGTGAACACGGGCTCTCAGTTTATCTTCGAGCCCTGGATCGGCGAATCCGCCTGGTCCGACATGGGCTGCGGCGGCCAAAAGTCCGAGTTCGACTGCGTGTCGAGTCTCGGCCAGGACAAGGCCAACAGCGCATTCGCTAAGCACTGGGACACCTGGATTACAGAGGAGGATATTAGCGAGATCCAAAACTATGGTCTTAACACCATCCGTATTCCGGTTGGGTACTGGATGAAAGAGGATCTTGTGTACCGCGACAGCGAGTATTTCCCGCAGGGCGGATTCGATTATCTCGAGAGACTTTGTGGATGGGCTAGTGATGCTGGTTTGTATATAATCATGGACCTGCATGGTCTTCCGGGGGCACAGACGCCTGAGAATCCGTTTACGGGCCAGTATGCTTCGGAGGCCGGATTCTACGAGGACTACCAGTATGAGCGCGCACTAAAGTTCCTCGAGTGGATGACGACCAATATTCACCAGAACGACAACTTCCGTAACGTGGGTATGCTGGAGATTGTCAATGAGCCGGAGCAGGAAGAAGACAAGGCTGCTTCCGTGCGTGCGGGTTACTACCCGAATGCATACCGAGTTAGTCTCTTCCCTTTACCTTGTGGCTAGCAGCAGCAGCTAACCCTACCCAGCGTATCCGCGCCGCGGAACAAAAACTCTCAATCAACAGAAACGACTACCTGCACATCCAAATGATGGACGAAACCTGGGGCGCCGGCAATCCCAACCAGTACCTGGACGACCTCTACTACGCTGCTTACGACGACCACCGGTACTTGAAATGGGCTAACATCGACGCCTCTCATGATAGCTACATCAGTACTTCCTGCAGTGATGACCTGGACAGCAACACCCCGCTTATCGTGGGTGAATGGAGTTTGGCCGTCGCGGATGATATCGAGTCGGACCCGAACTGGGACCCGGACTCGAACACTGAGTTCTATAAGAAGTGGTTTGCGGCGCAGATCACTGCGTATGAGAGACAGCAGGGATGGGTGTTTTGGACTTGGAAGGCTCAGTTGGGTGATTATCGGTGGTCGTATCAAGGTATGTCCCTTCTATATTTCTAGGGTTTGTTGTGCATTACTGACTCCTGTAGATGCGGTTTCGGCTGGTGTGATTCCTACTGATCTCAACTCGGCTTTGGATATGGGAGCGTGTGGGTAAACTTGTATATATCTTGTAGAGGTAAATAGCTACGAAACAGTCAACGCCTTCAAATCCTCAGTCTCCATCATAAAATCCTGATCCAACTTCTCATACATCTCAGACCTCTTATAAGCAAACCCATCCTTGTTCAAATACCTTTCCATGACACAACCCACAGCCCCCTTTTCATCCCGGTTAGCTTTACTGCACCGCCATTCTTCCTCATCTTTAAATGGTCGGCGGAAGTCGCAGATAGCAAAATCGATCATGACTGCTTTGTCCCTGCGGATGATGAAATTCCACGTCCTCGTGTCTTTGTTCATGATACCTTTTTCGGAGGCCAGGAGGATGATATTGATTGCATCGTCGCATATGGATTTCCAGGATTCTTTTGGGCAGTAGTGGGTGATGTGCTTGAGGGGGAAACCGTCAATGCATTCGAGGAGAATTGCGGAGTTGGAGGTGTATTTGGAAATTGTGTCTTCCTTCTCTTCATCTTCGTGCTCTTGAGAAGAGGAAAAAGGAGATGACGTGACGATGAACGTGGCGAGGAGATTTGGAATGAGCGTCCCTTGAAGGTTCTTCAAGGTGTCGTATACTTCCACTTCCATCCTGTATCATTTCCGCATGAGATGGTAGAAAAACGCTTCGCCCTTCCTGGATTAACCTCCTCATCACTGTCGTCGTCTCTGTCTTCGCCATGGTGTTGGGATTTGCTGCTGTATGAGATCGTGTCAGTCTAGGCCAGAGAAACAGAGTAGGATACTCGTTGGATGGTGTATGGTAAATTATAGGATATAGGATAAACAAGAGTGAAAGAAAGCAATTCATAAGCAGAGTCATGTGATAAGTAGTTCGGCTGCCTTATAGAGGGCTTCTGCCTCCCAGACTCTGTCACCTTGGCGTCATTTGTCTTGACAGCCTCAGCATTCACCATGGTACTCTACGCAAAAGAAGCATTTAAGCTACCGTTACAGCTTCATTATTTAATAACTAGCCTCACTCTACAATCCATATAAAACCAAAAGCCTCCGAGACACAAGGCTATGGTGACTATACATGTCAATGGTATGAGATATGGAAACCTCGATGGCTACAGGGAGCCCTTTACTGTTTCTTAGCTTTCTGGAATGGGGCTTGCAATGATAGCTGACTGGAAATGTGTTGCACACCACAGACTATACAACCCATTGAATGACATTTCATCACTCATTTATTTACTGTGCAGTGCTATCTGCAATATCAAAAATGGTCTCGAGTTTGCTCATTGGCACAATGACTTTCCTGATAATGGCCTAATAGAACGCTCCTCTCCATTTACTCCTGGGCTTCCGGAGTTGTACTCTACCTGACTGAGGAGCAAATGGACCAAACTTCCAATGCATCGTCACAAAAGGTCTACACATAGATTTGAGATCCCGAGAACGATTTTGAGAGCCAAGACTTGTTATAATATTCTTTGCAGCAATGAAACCGTTTTGTGCAAGAGGCAGCGAACACATTCAGGTCGCCATAGAGGGAAGTAGTCAATCCGAGCTTCCCAATCATTCCCACCGGGAAGGACAAGCTATTTCGGGTGACAGCAAGATAGCTCAACTGCCTATTCGATATCCATTGAGTTTAGACCAACATGGATCGTATGGGTCTGATTGCCGGGGCTATGGTTCATCGTACAGGATCAGTCATGGTGGCTGTATGTTGCATATGAGCAGTTCTCAGCACCTTTGTAGCCTCGCTACCTATGCTAAAAGCATGGAGTTTGTTGAAAATGACCACAGAGGCCGATCCTTCGCGTTGGACACTCGACATCAAACAACCTAAGATTGTCGTCGCGCCCATTGACTCCGATATGGATGGGGTGATATCAACTAGATACCGTACCTGGTATCGGGGAAAATATCAGAAACTTGAAAGCGAAGAATGCGAAGGTGCGGAGGAAAAATTGTTTTTGGGGGGTGTAGGCCCAATACCCCGTTAGACTTGCAACAACTAACCGTTACTATATAATAAAGGTGCGATAAACGTTTGACTTGTGGGATGGCCTGGGGCAAGCTATGCAAAAATGCCTCCTCCAGATCATGAAGCAGGGAGCAGCCTCTTCACGTAAGCATATTAGGGATGCAATTCTCCACCAGGCTCCGATATTTAAACAAGCTGAGGTTCGCGGACCATCAACCACCATATGCCGATCGAGCAGGTGGGCAACAGGGAGCATCACGTCTTTCTAACCGTGCAGAACCAAGTGGGCCAGTACGATGACAGGGAACAAAAAGGTGGAATAGATGGGCAGCTATATTTTGTAGACCCGCTCGTGGAGAGTGCAGGAGCAAGTAGGCTCTACATCCGTCGCATATTGTGTGACCGAGCCACTGCCCACTGATTTCGAGATCCCCTCCCACAGGGCAGTTATATGCCGTGTCTGGCAGAAAGACACGCTACCGAATGGTTAACCCCGGCAGGACACTATCATAGACTGGGCCTTAGGGGCTTGTGATAGTCGATTTGGCCAGCCATGTTTCTTTTTGCTGCAATCTGGCCAACGACCCCCACATTACAATATTTCTCAAGAGCACAAGAATATGAGGAACAAAGAGCCAAGCTACTGCGTGGATGGGTATTTTGCATCACCCATGTTTAACTATGGCAAGCCAGCAGATGCAAAGCACAATGTACGGATCATGGCAGAATAATATCGTTTGGCCCGAGAATTTGATCTGGGAAGCTCCTGATAGTTGGCAATTTATAATTGTCACGGTATCTTCAATTTCACGACTGAGTGAGCGCGAACCACCAATTTGCTGCCCACGATGGAACCCTGATTGAATTCAATGAAAAACACGTTTTATGGGTAACTTGTTAACCTATTTCATCCCATGAGTCTGACCAAAAGAACGCAAAAATGATCAGCATCCTACCACTAGCAAGCACGACAAGAGTCTTACAGATAGAGGCTCGCCTTTCAACGAGCGGTGGTCTTACAGGAAAGACAGCCAGAGTGCAAGTAATAAAAGGAGACATATGTGTGGGAGGCCGGGAGAAATGGCGCCGTCGACCAAGATTCTGCATCGGACGTACTTTCTGAGTTGCTCAGGTGTTTCTCCTTCCTTGAAGGTCCTGCTGATATGGGAAAGGATAACAGTTCTGAGGCAATCTCGAGTGTATCTCGTTCTCATCTTGATATGGCTTTGCTGTTTTATTGGCGGTGATTTCCTGTTGGCTGAATTTGCCCTTAAGTTCTATTAGGATGTTCGTTGATTCTTTTTATCTTATGAGGGGCTTGTCGTGACACTACCTACTATCCCCATGCAGCAATTGCAAACGATACATTAGTCCAGCATATATGTAATAAGAGGAATATGTATCTCAGCCTCAGTTACACAATTCTAACATCTACCAATCTATATCTAAACCGTCCTCAAACACCCCTCCAAACACCCCTCCACCCTCTTAACATCCCCCAACTCCGCCACAACCCCAATATACCCATCTGGCCTCACAACCGCCACAGCACCCTTCTCCGGATCAACACCAAAAACCCCATAGACATCTTCCTTCTCATACCCGTTGTAAAACTGCATTTCCGAGTACTGTTTCAGCTCACGGGGCACGTCTCGCCAGGTGAAGTCGCGGGATAAACGCGGGTGGAGGACGACTTGTTCGATTACGGAGGGTGGGAAGCGGGGGATGATGGAGGAGCCGAGGGTTGTTAGGGTCTGGTGGGAAGTGCCCTGGGAGTCGAGGAGGTCGGTGGATGCTAAGCAGAGGATGCGGAAGCGGCCGGTTGAGAGGAAGTCTGTGGTTGTTAGTGACCATAAAGTCTTTTTGGGGTGCAGGTAACGCACCATCCTGAAGATCACGTCGATTTCCATCCGCATGTCTCTTAACTTGCACATTTAGCAATCTCCGTCCTGGGTACAACATCCCCGACAAACGGTCCGTTCCCTGAATGGGATCCTTGCGCTCCTTCTCCAGCGTCCGGTTCACAAGCAAACTCTCAGGATATTCAATCCCACAACCACTTGTGAACCCATTCCCGGTGCTAAAGACAGTTTGGAACTCTTCGTGCGTGAGTCCCTGGTTTCCGTCCTCAGAACCCATCTGACCAGAGAACATGGACGAGAATGTTCGATCGAAATCAATTAATTGTTGAGCGATGGTGTGTCGTTCGCTGTGATAGGTGTCAAGGAGGGCTTCAGGGTCGGGGGTAAGGCCGTAGATGGAGTAGATTAATTTCCAGGCTAGGTTGTAGGAGTCCATCATGGATACGTTCATGCCTTGACCGGCTTTGGGGCTGTGTGTATGACAAGCTGTAGACAATTAGAATCCAGTAGTCAAAGCAGCAATAGCCATAACTTACCATCTCCAGCGATAAACACCCGGTTGACTCCTTTCGAATCTTTCACGGCAAACCGTTCCGTCACGCGCTGCCCAATCTGGTATGCTGCCCACCAGTCCACATCACCGTCCTTCTTGGGCTGAATATAGTATGGTTGAAAGGCGTCCACTGCATGCTGGAAGAGCCTATCCATCGTAACTTTTCCTCGGCGTTCCTTGGCCTGTTCCTTATTTGAACCGTTAAGGGTCTCCTCCGTCTCCAGTTCTGGCACTTGCACGTAGAGACGGGTTAGATAGTCCCCTGTAGCAATGCGCTCGCGCGGAATGACCATGACAGATCCTGCGGGGGAGTGAATGGCGCAGCGTCGTCTGATATCAGGGAAATCAGTGTCGACCACCAAATCCATAACTCCCCAAATGTGATCCGTCGATTCTCCGACCATTTTGAGACCCATGTGTCGTCGCGCAACCGAATGCGCGCCATCGGCGCCAACTAGGTGTTTCGTGCGAACGGTCCTGCGCTGACCGTCCGTTTCGAGCTCCGCAACGACAGGGAACTCCGGATCGGACTCATCAATCTTAACGTCGAGAAGCTTAGTGTTTCGCTGCACACCGCGCTTCGAATACCGCAGCAGATCCGTCTCGAGAATCCGCTCGATTCGACCCTGGTGAATAGTAACTTCAAAATTGTACCGCGCGGGCACTGCGATATCACGAACAATCGAGGTCCTTTCAATCACTTCATCCTTGTTGCTGGACGGGTTCCAGAAAGCGACTTCCTCCATATGACACCCATCGTGTACAAGTTCATCAACAAGCCCAAGTGATTTGAACACCTCCAAAGTCCGGGGTTGAATACCGTCTGCCTGACCGGACGTGAGCAACGATGGCTTCGCATCGACAAATAGCAATGAATCGTCGCTCAATCCGTATCGCGCCAGGAGCAGGCCCAGCATCATACCGGCGGGACCTGCACCGACAATGACGACTTCATATTTCTCTGTCTGCTCGTCGCGCGTGAATGCTGGCGTGACGCGGGGCAGTGGAGGGGCAAAAGAAGGTAGAACCCGTAGCTCGCGCGACTTGGTTGCGTACTCTGTGAAGACGGGCATAGCGGTGCTAATGGAAGATATGTCCGCAGGAATTAGGAGAATTCGAGTCGTCACCCCCCAAATACACTGCCATTGTCCACTTTATACCATATGCCCCATGGTTAATATCCTCCGCAAAAGTCACCGTCGGTAAACGGGTGGAGGTATGCTCGTCCAATGGTAGACTGCGTAACCACGGGGGTTGATCCACTCGGAATTATCCAGAACATCCTGATTGGCCATAATCTACAAGTGTTGAAAATCCCGAGGATTTGTGAGATTCGAGTAAGCATCCACAAGCAATGGGGGGAGGTTGGAGACGGTTTTACGGAAATACGGTTCAGATGGAGCACTGGCGGGAATACTGTTCCTCCGTTTATGTTGATTTATGCAGTCGTCTGGGGGAATTCCGACATAGCCCTCACGGCAATGTAATACCGAGCGGTAAACGAGGTATGATGTTCGTCGCAATGGGGTTTTTCCTGTAGTTGAGCTCCACGTGGATGTACATCCAGCAAATGACATCGTCTCAGATGCATCGTTTTTTCCTTCGCCATGGAGGAGGAAGAGCAAACCCCCGCGGTTTAGCGAGGTGCTCGGCAAGCCTCCGTACATCCAGAGCACTTCCCTCAGCATACCCCTGTAATACAGCATCACAAAACTGATATATACCACCTCCACCAACCAGTCTTGGCTCAGAGATGGGGTATTCCCGAACCACATCATCCATATCCCAAGCCCTCGCACCCGAATATGCTCACTGTGCTCTCCACTTGTGCTATCTCCATACCCGTCCCCGCAAACCGTTCCTTGAAAGGGGGTTTGCCGACCAGGAGTATCCGCTCCAACCATGGTTAGGGCAAACTAACCCGCAAAGCTTTCCATATCGTTGGCTGGTAAGACGCAACACAGCAAAGATGTGCGAAAGTCGGTAACCCACAATGGATACGGGCTTTCCTCCCCGAACGAATGGATGGATCTGTAACGCCAGAAAGGCGAGGCGCATTGAAATTCAATCTGGAATTGGAATCCGGTAATGTAGAGGCGTCGTAGATAGTTTGCGGGGCGAAAGTTTAGTTGGGGACAACGTCAAGTGGTTATTTAACCCTGGTGGTGTCCTCGGAGAGGTGTTGCTGTGCCGTGATACCTCACAAGCTCGCTCGTGTTTATATTTGCTTCTTTTGCACACAAAACGTCCGCTTTCTGGGACTTCCATACGGTTGCTCAACTTCCATCTTATAATTTCTTCAAAGATGGGACGTCTTTCTCGTTTTTTAAGTGGCAGCAGCGACAAGGCAGCAGAATCCCTGCCAACAGAGGACAAATGGATCGTGGAAGAACGCTCCATTGACGAAGCTCGTCCTCTTCGAGTTGTCATCATTGGCTCTGGAATCTCAGGTATCATCGCTTCCGTCAGATTCAGACAGCGAATTCCCAATGTAGACCTTTGTGTCTATGAGAAGAACGCGGATGTTGGTGGCACTTGGCTCGAGAATCGATACCCCGGATGTGCATGTGGTATGTGACACCCCACGTTGTATCCCCCCCCCCCCCCTCCTTTGACGCTCAACCGGAGCATCCGTATTCCGCAGCGGCTAAATTATTGCATTGTGATTAGATATACCCGCGCACACATACCAGGCCACATTCGAGCCGAACAAAGAGTGGTCGACGTTCTATGCTGCAGCTCCCGAGATCTACCAATATTGGAAGTGTGTAGCCAACAAGTATGGCTGTGGGAAGTATATCAAGTTCAAGCAGCAGGTCGTGCAGGCCGTGTGGGATGAGGTGAAGAGCAAATGGCAGCTTCAGGTTAGCGTCTTCTAGGACTATGAGAGTCCACAGCTAACATTGATAACGTGAAGATCCAAAATGGCAATTCTGGCTCCGTGTACTTGGATGAAGCCGATGTATTAATCTCAGCAACCGGTGCGCTGAATAACTGGAAGTGGCCTAATATCCCTGGTCTCCATGATTTCAAGGGCAAGTTGATGCACAGTGCCAAGTGGGATGAAAGTTATGACTACAGCGTGCGAAGCCCTGGCTATCGCCACCAAGGAAAATAAGCTAACTCATCCACTAGGGAAAGAAAGCTGCTGTGATTGGAAACGGGTCAAGTGGTATCCAGGTTGTTCCTGGCATGCTGCCGAAAGTCACACATTTGGACCACTACATCAGGGGTCGGGCATGGCTCTCGCCTACTTTTGCCCGGGATGAAATTGACAAACGAGGGGCTGGTCTAGAAAATTGTAAGTCTTTCTCGCCTTTGGGTGGATCGAAATTCCCGAGCTGACATCACCTCCAGTCTCCTTCACTTCGGAAGAGATTGAAGAGTTCAAGAAAGATCACCAGACCTACCAGAAGTTCCGTAAAGGTAAGAGTGTGACACACCTTTGTCTGGCCCTGTGCTAAGACTTGCGATAGGGGTCGAATTAGAACTGCAATCCGTCCACGGAGCAACCATTACCGGCACACCAGAACAAGTCGGCGCGAGAGGAATCTTCCTGGAAAACATGAAACGGCGTCTGGCAGGAAAGCCCGCTCTCATCGATGACATGATCCCATCCTTCCCACCCGTCTGTAGACGGCTTACACCTGGTCCTGGGTACCTAGAAGCCCTAGCAGACGACAAAGTGGACGTCGTCACCTCGCCAATCGCCAAGGTGGATGCGGAGGGCATCATCACTGCCGATGGAAAGCATCACCCAACTGATGTCCTCGTTTGCGCCACCGGATTCGATACATCTTTCACACCTCGTTTCCCCATCATTGGTCGTGATGGAGTTTCCCTGGCGCAGCGATGGAAACAAACTCCAGAAACCTATTTGTCGTTTGCTGTCGATGGGTTCCCGAACTACTTCATCTGTCTGGGTCCCAACGCAGCCTTGGGCGAAGGAAACCTGCTTCTCCTGATTGAGAAGGAGATTTATTATTTCACCGAATGCGTGATGAAGATGCAGCGTGATAATATCCGAGCAATGGGACCCAGGAAGGGCTCCGTGGCGCGCTTCACCAAGCATTGTGATCAGTACTTCTCGCGGACGGTGTTCAGTGAGAAGTGTCGAAGCTGGTATAAGGGTGGAATGGAGGATGGGAGGGTGACGGCTTTATGGCCTGGTAAGTTTACGTTTGAAGATGTGAGGTTGTTCATAAACTAACATACCATAGGGTCGTCCCTGCACTCCATGAAAGCCCTGGTACATCCTCGCTGGGAAGACTATGAGTACGAGTATGTCAACGATAATCCGAATGGCTGGATTGGAGACGGTTGGACGGAGAATGAGAAGTACAAGAGGATCAACGTGGATTATCTGGATGATGACCAGATCGACTTTCCGAGCATGGGTGTTGAGGATGCAGGAGTCCCAGCAGTTGGTGTCGCTGCTGATTAATTGTCTCGGTGCTCATATAGTACGATGGAATGAATATTACAATAACATCAAGACCTTGAAATAAGATTGTATGAAAGGTGAGGTTGAGGTTTTCAGCTGAGCCTCATGAAGCACGTGAGACGCAAGGATAAGCCGACCAGAAGTCCCCCAAAAGTACGACCGCTGTATTTTTCAAATTAGATCTTAAATTTATGACTGTTCGGAGCAATTTTAAATGACGATTTGTTAGGTTTTCATTAAATTTGGTTAAATGTGGGCATAGATCTCATTTCAACCACGTCTTTCCCGCTAGGGATTTCATGTCATCGTTTTCGTCGCCATCAATTCCTAGACAGTCCCAGCAAAGTAGACCAAGGGAGAGTGAAGGATAATCAACGCTCCTCCCAGACATTATGTCCGGCATGAGGCGAAAATGTCCCATTAATACCAGTTCCACGCTCAGCATCATCGGTCCCTTCTTCTTCCGCATCCCGCAATTCCGGCTGCGTAATCCTTCGATATTCACTGTTATTCCTTGATGAGGCGGTACTCATCCAACTAGGCCGACGACTACCGAACTGGACGAATCCAATCTAATATAGTTAGTACAGGATATAAGCGTGAAGAGCATGACTTGACTCACCTTAATCGCCCAAATCAAAGCAGCAGCAGCAAAGATCATCCAAGAAGCATTCTGTTGCTGTCCCCTCCATGGCGTCAAGCAACTGCGATGGTACCCAAGCTGCGTTTCACAAGCGTCATCTCTATGGCTGCGATCCTTGAACGGCCACGCCCTGTCATGAACACTGCGAAGCCCGCAGCATTGATTGGTGTCTTGAATGGTCCGGATAGCATCCGCATTCTTCGACTGGAAAAAGGCCTGCCATTGCTGCTCAAGGTGGCAGGTGAGTATATTATCAGGGAAGAGGTATGCCAGGGCAACACTCGCAATTGCGGATAGGAGGATGGAATGGAGTTGGTCGACGATCGAAGCGATCCGGGTCCAGAGCGGGTTGGGAGCGTTGGTTGCGTTTCTGCCGGATGTATTGGACACGGCTAGGGCAGCAGCGGTCAGAGGTGAGAGTAATGTCGCTAGGACTGGAAGCCATGATGGCAGCGGAAGGAATGAGGACGATACGCGAGACCAGGCTAGCGCTCCAAGGATCAAGGTCACAGCGAGTGACTAGGTAAAAATAAGATCAGCAAGCTAAATCCTTTAGACTATACCTGATTATATACATACCACGATCATAAAGGACAAGGATACGGGGGTGGCTTGGAACATCCCGAGCATGGTGTCTGTCGAGCAGGTTGTTTGTAGGAGAATGGTTCAAAGTATGAGCGGGGTACGCTCTTATACAATGCAAACATATGCAAATGACAGCACAATGGGCGTTGGCTCATGATGATCAGTGGACTTTGGTACTTTTGTCTCATTATGCTTATCTTACAGGAATCCAAACCATAGCTTCCAGCAATGGCATCATTTTAGCTACTTTGTACTCCTTTAATTGATCTGCATCTCAACCGGTAGATGGATTCTCGGTAGATGAGGATGTACACACATCCTGTCCCTTAGTAACCGCCAAGCATAACTTATGCCATGCACTAATCCGAATGGTGATGTGGTGTCTCCGCTCCCGTGCGGGGAAACGTACGATACGGTATGGTAACAATGTCCAAATGAGGGGAAGCAAAGGCGGGATCGCCAAAAGAGGTAAGATCGGGTGGAGCCATCGCGCACAACAATTTATAACCTAGCATATGTCTTGATTAAATAATTAATGATGAAAATGACAATAAATCCCACACAAGACAAAAGGGGGAAGCAATAGCTTATATCAAAAAAGAATGCAGTCAATTAATGGTTTTGTTGGAGTTTCTGATCACATTATTGTGTGATGTGTTCTTTGGCAATAGGTTAAGTTTGACTGACAGGTACTCTGTACTTCTTGTACGTCTCGATTTCCGCATCGTTGGAGAAGGATTTTGGACATCTTCACGTGCCAAAGCGTCGAAAAACGCACGATGCTCCTGATTCTGATTTTCTAACAGGATTGACCCCTGTTCACTCGGCTTGTCTTCCGGCCAATTGTCAAGGCCAATTCTTATGCAGAACACGGATCTCTCGCTGGATATTACGATCTTACCCCGGACTCTCCCGCCTTTACCTTATAAGCTTCTCCCCGATGGGCCACAATGAAATCCTCTGCAGAGAAGCATTTTCGCTGTACGGTCTGCCAGAGAGGTTTCACGCGGATTGATCATCTGAAAAGACACCAGCTTCGTCGTATGTGCCTCGTGCTGCATGCATGCTGCCGCTTTCAATTTCGGGTTTTCTCTGCCGGGACGTTGGACTAATCCCATAACCACCAGACTCCGGACTGAGACCTTACTCGTGTGTTTTCTGCAATGAAGCTTTTGCGCGATGGTACGTTGTTTCGTCATCTTAAAACTGTGCGAGACTGATTCGTTCTCAAGTGATAATCTCCGGGACCACTATGCGGACTGCACAAAACGCGGGGACCAGAAAATCCCGGAAACCGGCCAGAGAGGCAGACGGCGACATGCGTGCCAACCAGTACCTCAACCTCAATCTACTACAGATTGGAACAATGGACTGACCAAATTCGCGTCTAGTGCATGTCGATGAAGCTTCGCTGCGATGGGTCGAATCCTTGTGGTTCGTGCCAGAAACGGAGCGTGGAGTGCGTTAAGGAGCAAAATCCCGGTCCACAAAAATCCCCGTTATCAGATAGCCAGTCTACAAGTACAACCCACTCTGCGCTGGCGCCCCGCAATATCTACGAACCGTCATCCGATCGCGGGTCGATCAAGTTCCTTCTCAATGGAGGCACCGACAGTTTTACCGAACACTTTCATCTTCCGCCACATACTGATAGAGCCCGGGGTTTGGAATACCATAACCAGAAGGGGTTTGAGGAGGCTGAAATGTCGATCCTTGGGTATCCCGGAAGGAGTGATCAGTCAGACTACGCACCAGCTTTTGTTGAGTCGGATCCAGCTGCCTTGTCTTTTTTTCAGGATACCTTTATCAATTTCTTTAACGGTCCATTTCCACTTGGCGAACCACCGAGAACATTGGAGGATCACTACGGAAGCGAAACCCCCTATGACCCATTAGTGCCCCAAGGGCAATCATCACATGAACCGGAGAAGCCGTTTGCTATGGCACTGATTCAAGCAATATTATCCAGAGCTTGGACAGTCCCTCTTGAGCCTAGGGTTCAAGAAGAGATATCCATGAACATCCACTTCCTATTGACGACTTCCCGCATCCGAAAATTCGTTTCCTCATACTCCAGGTTCTGGCATCCCAATTGCCCGCTCGTCCACATTGCAAGCTTTGATCCCGAAATTGCTTCATTGCCGTTACTCGCGTCTATTGTCTTTATGGGCGCCATATATTCAGATGACACGAGGGAGTCGAGTGCCGCCAAGAGGGTTCTTGATTTCGCAGAACTGTTTGTGTTCTCGAGTCAAGTTTTTGCATCCGAGCATGAGGTTGGTGCCAGTTTCCGTACGGCACACCGCATGGATGATGACCCGAACGAATTGGTTCAACTACAAGATCTTCAAGCAGGATACATCATGACAGTTACGCAATACTGGGCAGGTAGTCCTGTTTCGCGAAACCGCGCGATGGAGACCCTTTTCAATCAGGTTGTCAACGTAAGTCGACCCTCTGATATAGAAAATATCAGATGCTAATCAGACTGCCAGGTCGCACGTAGACTCGGTCTTTCGAAGTGTCGTCACCAACCACAGGATCAGCTCCATGAACCATTGTGGATTAAAACAGAATCTCGTATTCGGTACGGCTAAAGGCTTATTAACCTCACATTATCAGTCTCCTGATGCTGATCGTTGGTAGTATCATGGCCATGATAGCCCTGATCGACTCTGCATTCTCATTCTTCCAAAACTACCCTTGTCGCCTGACACATGTTGAGATGGACTGTGATCTTCCATGTGAAGAAATCGTTTTCGATTCCGTCCATCCATTTTCAGAGCCGAATTTCCGCTTCTCTCGAAACCTCACCGTCTCGGAGGCTTTCCAGAGTCTGTTCGAGGAGTGTCCCGAGGACTCACTTCATTCTCCTCCCCCCTCCTTTCCACAGAATAACGTTGGCAATCCTTTGGGATTTACGGTCTTCGACATGTTTCTTCTAATACACCGTATGTCCTCTTTCTCAGACATTATCCACACTTACTAACTAGGCCCAGTGCTATACGCCTTCATAAACACCCACATGACCCTCCTAATCCCCATCCTCCGAAAATACCAAACCGCAAATTCACCCAGCACAATCCCAGACGACTCCATCCTAGCCGCAATCCGCACAGCCCTATCACGATGGCGCGATCACTGGGTGGCATTGCACAACCAATTACCAGGAGATCAATGGGCGTCGATGGGTTTCTACAAGAACGGATACAACTTCTGGCTTGTTTCGCAGTTGCTTATCACCAAGAAGGAAAGCGTGGATGTGGTGATGCGGATGGAGGTGAAGTGTGAGGATAAATTGGAGAAGCTGAAGGTGCTTCTTATGGATGAATAGGTTGGATATGTGTGTGTATTTGTTGTGTATTACTGCTATTTGGACTGTTTTGCATATGGGAGGAGTATATACGCGGGGGGTTGTATGTATTAATATCGACTATTTTCTTCATCGCCGTCACAAGTACCATCGCCAACTCTCCAAGGGTCTGACTATGCATACCCCAACCTCATAAACATCTCAATATTCGTCTTCGTATCCTCATCAACATACTTCGGCGGCTCCGCAAAAGTAACATGCTCCCCATGCAACTCAGCGACCTTCCCGGTCAACGAAGAATCATCAACAAATTGCTCCACGGCCTTAACAGCCGTCGACATAGGCGTAAGGATCATCGCCTTGAACAAGCCCGAGCTGGGCGCGAGGTTGGTTTCTACATCATTAGCCTCTCACACTACACATACACAGAGAAAGGAAAGGGAAGAAGGACATACCAATAACAGCCGGCGCGAGTGCATTGATCTGAATCTGCTCCCTTTCCAATCTTGGCGCCAGAGAGCGGACCAACCCGATAACACCGTGTTTGGTGGCTGAATAGATCGGTGCCATCGGGAAAGCATAGATACCAGCATTGGACGCGGTGCAAATGATACTACCCTTGCTGGGAGGTTTTCCGTCACCAGCATCTGTAGGGGTATTCTTAGAGATATAATGTATCCCCAAATGAACAGCTGTCATCATTAGCATTCCCGATTCCATACAGTAAGAAATACCACATACAATAAATAACCCCCCAAAAATTAACATCCACCGTCTTCAACCCCGGCTTCACCGGCCCACCACCACTCGCACTCCCCAACGCAGACTTAACCAAATCCACCAACTCCGTGACCCCCGCATTCGCAAAGACAACATCTACACCCCCCTACTGCTCAACTACCTTTTCAAAAGCCGCAGCCTGCGACTCCCACGAGGACACATCGCAGTGCTCGAAACTAACGCTCGCAGTGGGGTACTGCGAGCGCAGGGACTGGCGCGCTTTGGCGCCTGCTGAGGGATTGTTGTCTAGGATTGTGACGTGGGTGTTTGTCTTTGGGTTTGTGTTTTTGGGGGAGGAGAGGAAGTGGTGGGTTAGACCTAGGCCGATGCCTGATGCGCCGCCGGTTATGATGATGGATTGTGGGCGGGGCATTGTTTGTTGTGTTGTGCTGGGAGGAGATGGGAGGGGAGGGTGTTTTCCTGTATGGAGGATGGATTATGAATTGGTGTGAGGGAGAGATGTGAGGGGATACAGGTTTTTATGTGATGTACTCACTGTGTTTATGCTCATTTTGTACTCCGTAACCCCTCTCGGATGATCTCCACTGTGGAGTTGGGGGATTTCCGATAGTATCATCTATGTACATGGATGTTTGCACTAGTTTCCCGGACTATGTACATACAATGCTATAAATCTGTAATGCAATTGAGCGTAGCAATATTCTTTCTCGCTAAATCTGGGATTCCTTTGACTACCATATCCCAGAATGGACTCCATACATCAGGGCACGTAAATCACGTGGAGATGAACATATGTAGGTTTCGTCGATCACTACGAAGTATCATCCTACCTATCCGCATAATTCCAAATACTTAATTCCAAAAAGAAAAAGGCTTAACTCAAACAATCCCACCACCACCCCTATTTGACAAATCCTGCATACGCCCAGGTAACCCTTCCAACTCTTCAACGAGCGCATCCCGATAATCGCATTTCCGAGTCGTATCGAAATCAATCAAAACCGCCTTCTCTCCACGAATAAGAAAATTAAATCGATTCGAATCATTATGTCGGATTCCCAAAATGTGTAATCGAGATAGCGTCTCCTGACAGGCATCAAGGTCCGGAGGACCCGCATGTCGTTCATTTTTAAATCCGTTCCAAGAGGAATTTAGTCACTCGACCATCCTCGGTGAGGTATCCCAGGAACCGGGATGACCCTCAATCCATTTGTATGCTGTCGTCTCGTTTTCCAGGTATTGAATCTCCCAGTCGAAGCCTGCGAGTTTGACAGCTACGACGGTGTCGAATGTCGAATGTGTAACTTCATACACGCCTGTCCATAGCATCTCGCCTATTTTCAGGTCCGTGTACTCAATAAAAGTCCCGTGCCATGTGTTCTCGACAGCAGGAAACGCAGTCCGACTCGCGCGTGCGAAGTACGGTTGTCCAGTATTCGCTTGCCGAGCCCCTATTCCGTCGTTCCAGTCTCCGGGAGGTAAATGTGGGAGGATTCTGGCTAGGGATGGGACCGTAAGTCATGTCTTCTGTGGCGTGGATGTCGGGCTTGACGTTATGGAAGATGTCGATGGCAGGCTATTTCCAGGGCCTACATGAGCAATGCATCATCAAGATGAGTCCACAGTGACCATCATGTGTAAAGCGACCATCTTTGAATTTTCCCTTCTGGTTAGTTCTGCCATTTCCAGTAAGGCTTCCCGATTAAGCCCGGTGCGTCCAAAACAGAGAGTAGGTTAACATGATGTCACCCAATGAAATATCTTATAAGAACTTTCTTCTGACTCTAACATTCCACAGCAACATATTTTTCATCAAAACCCATCCTCTCCAACAATGGCTCAATTATCTCAGCGCATATTGCGATGTGCTTTCTCTGACAATCTTAAGAATGTGTTCCACATAGATTCTACCCTTGGTGTTGACATTATTGAGGATATCAGAGAGAGGATTTGGATGAAGCACCCCAATAAGCTCGCTCAGATTCTTTACACAGAACTCAAACTCTACAGTCCTGTTAACCCAGTCAAAGACGGTCTCATGAAGGAGAATCCTGTATTCCTTTGTCCACGCCAACAGATTTCATCCGACTTTCCTCAATCCAGCGATCCAAAAATTGATATAATTATTCGTAAACCAAGCCCAAGGAACATTCCCCAGACTATTCGACAAGCTTTCCTCAAGGTATGAATACAATTTTATCTGAAAACAACTTCAGCTCTCCAACATAAATTCCATCTAGGATTGCCATATAAACCACCTCGTCCACTTGTCGGAGATGAAGGCACACAATGGGAGTATCGGTCACATTAAAAATTAAAAGGACGAGTACAATTTGGATTAGAAGATTATTTTTCAGCATACCTTCAAGACTCAACATGTAAGGTCAATACCTCATTGTACCTTTTCCTGGGCGGGGTTGGGACAGGGAAGTCAAGGAATGCCATGGAGTTCTCAAACACATTGATATCGTGTCCTGACAAGGATTCTGATTTGAGAGGGAGACTGGAAAAGGCAGAGGTGTTTTTGGTGAACCTAGAAAACGGTGCAAGCATCCTGAAAGAACAGAGGAATCTGCTTCTGCTTGATATTATTGGGACCCTCATGCTCTTACAACTACTACCTGATGAAGTCGGAGTCAATCAGGTGATACTAAAATATGTATCTCCAGATCCAACGGAAGTCCTCAGCAGTTGCTCAAGGAGAAGGCGAAGGTCTTTACAATGAGTTTACAGGAATCATTATCATTGATGGTGTTCAAAACTTCCTACAGGGGTCCAACAATGATCAAGATAAAGATTCGGACCTCTATCAAATATTGGTAGAAATCGGGGAGCTTGCTTTACAACCTTGCACCAAGAGTGTCTTTGTGATTCCCTGCTGCACAACAACAATAGATCTCCCACCTCAGTTTTTTATTACCCATCGGAATCGTATTTATCTTCCACTAAAGAGTCTCGATTATCTCGATCCTCCTAACACTGTTAAGAATGGGAATCTGTGAAGCGTCCGTGTCGCGGCGCTGCCTTGGGCAGTTTTCCTTCTTGCTTTCTGTCTTGCTTTCTGTCTTGCTTTCCCTCTTTCCTTTTGCTAGTATTGACATTAAGATTAACTAATTTAATAGTCTTTAACTGAGTTAATAATTTATGATTTTAAGATAGTCCTATTCATTACCATAGGGTAGCTGGTTCTCAAAATGCAGATAGCTTCCATTCGTTCAGCGGGGAATACCCTGTAACTCCGTAAATCCACTGTGCTTTCCGTCTATAATCTCACCATATTATCTAGTATGATCCTCAAAGCTCTCCCTGGTGAGCTTTCGACGCCAATTAAAGGTACCAATGCAACGTCGAGAATTGAACCAGTGATATCTGCATGCAGAACAATGCAAACCCCATTCTGGGACTCCTGTACGGGCGTTTAGAACCCCGGCCCGGGCGATCCCCATAAAGCGCTTCAGATTCCGAGTAGATAAATCAGACCCATACCAGTTTATAGTTTTTCGGCACCGGGATTGGGTCGCTTTTTTGCTCCACGTCCCCAGGGCGTGCTGGTTCATTGCGCCGAGGCTCCCGTGTATGGCAAGTCCAGTTTGCATCCCAGCGTTGTAATCAAATAGAGTAAAGCGACTACGGCGTCTGCGCTCACTTGTCGAATAGCAACCTGGAACACTCTTCATGGATGATATAGCTGCCAGGTGCTTCTGATGGAGTTCAAATATTCGTAGAACATTGGCTTGTACGAATGGAAGGTAGTCGGTGCGATTAGTGAAGTAATCAAAGCAAACACGGCGGCATGTAATCAGGTACAGGTATTCACCAAAGTCACCGCAGGTTTTGCATTTAGCCGTATGGAGCTTGTCCCAGAGTGTTTGTAGGGAAAGCGAAGCCCCAGTGCCGATGCTGCGGATTGCCCTGATTGTGACAGGAGAGCGCAACGTGATCTTTGAGTATTCAGGAATCAAGGGTACGAGCTGTCTGGCTCGCCGGTTGAAATATCCAAAGCTCGTCATCAGTGAGTGTACGTCGAATTGTAGTAGTACCATATTAAGAGCTTCCAGAGGAAGTTGGTCCAATGTTCCTAGACTGCAAATCAACACTGAAACAAAGGGATATTTGCTGATGAGAGGGCAGAGACTTTCCTTTTCATCTAGAATGTGATCTCGAGTATCATAGGTAACCAAACATTGCTCGTTCAATGCCATTATGGGAAGCAATGGTGATAATGGCTGAGATGGTCTGCTAATTCACTGAGTTCAGTCTAGATGGTGATACGGGATGTCATGTGAATGCTGACAGCACGTGATTTGAAATAACTGCCAATTTGTTCAATTCGAGTCTGAAAGACAACTTTATTCTTTCAGTCAACTTGATCCTCGAGGCGAAAATCTTATGTACATGCTTGAGTTGATTCTGATCGTTCAACTGCCTACCAGGATCTGGCTTAACCCAATGATATCACGACCGGGTGACTTCATTGGTTTGGTAATTCAAAGATGTGGTTCAAGTATGTGCGAGTAGACACAAAGCCCTGTTTTCCATACCTATAGCCATATACATTGTTGTATATAGAAACGATATAGGAACGATAATCCTAAGCCATGCGCATTTCAGTAAGAATAAACCAACTATATTCAATCAATGAAATAATACACCTAAAAACACAACCACTCTAAGAAGACTTCTTAGTAACACCCTCCGCCTCATGTGCAACGGCCTTAGCCGAATCCGCAACCTCGTGCTCCATCGACTTAGCAGCCTCTGCGCTCGATCCCTCCAAGCTACGGCGGTGCATGAAGATACGGCTGACCTGGACGACACCAACGCATCCCAGGAAGAAGTTGACGGCGGCGAGGCTACACACGTATTAGATATATCTTTTATGAAGGGGGATTCGGGGTGAAGGCGTACAGGACGTTCCGGGGAGTAATGATCATGCACCAACGGGTCCAGATGGCGCCGGTAGCCATGAGGGCACCATTTTGTGTAAGGGAGAGCTTTTCGGCGGGGCGCTGGAAGTCGGAAATACCGGCGATGACGAGACCCCACTGCGCAAGTTTAGCTATACCATCCCCCGCACCGTGTATATCAACCGTCGCAAAACTCCGCTCGCGTGACCGGTGTTGTGGCACATACCTTCATAACGGGGGCCCTACACAACCATAATTAGCACATGTCCATTGCGCAAATACTCTCAGAGGAGAAAAGAATGCTCACCAGAAATGCACCGTCTTAACCCCAACGGGGCTATTCCATAGACGCTGGAAGCCACTCTGCTGGCTCTCGGCCGACGCCGCTCCGGCCTCCGAGCTCTGGAAACGGGCACCTGGCCGACGGAAGGGAGCGTAGGCGTTGCGGAAGGCAGCGCGAGTGTTCTGGAAGAAACGGAAACCAATGCGGGATGTCGACATTTTGGCGTTGTGTTGTATGAGGGGGGGGTGTTGGAGGAGGGTAAGATAAAAGATGTCGGGGTCGTGGGACTTTACGGAACGCGGAAAATTGAGTGGAGATGAGGCCGGTGCGAGTGATCGAGGCGCAAAGGCTCAACAACGAATAAAATTAATAATAATCTTTCAATTCCAATAATAAAGACAGAAAAAGCAACACAACTCAGCTGTCAAACAAAGTTCAAAATGAATGGTCTCCCCCGACCTCGGCGTGTGGTCCAAGTTGGGGTTTCCGTTGCGGCTCTTGTTCCGGCTGAGGTAAGCGGTGACAATCACGCTTGTCCGGATTGGTCTGTCTCTCAACTCAGTTCGGACGGACTTCAACGCCTGTCAACCGCAATTCTTCCAGCTGAATTACTGCCGTTACGCAGTTGAAGGGTCAATTCACCATGTCCGCCAAGTACGCATTCTCCACGGGTCTCAAGGAACTCCGTTTCCTCTTCTGTCAGAGCTCGGAGCAGAGCGCCGCAACAAGGTGGGCTACTTGAATTGGACCCGGAAACGAGAAAGGATCTCGAATAGCTAACTGGATTCATGTATAGGTCGTTCTTGAACCGCGCATACCCCACCATGAAGAAGCACAACCCTCACACTCCCATCCTGATCCGTGAGGCCATGGGTACCCTGCCTCGAGTTTACGCCAGATACGGTATGAAATCGGTCCAACAACGGTTCAACGGAGATATTCTAACACGGCTGGACAGGTCTCGGACGGGAGAAGCAGGAGGTGTTGCTGGGTAAGTGGTTTGGCATTATCACAACTAGGAATGTTGCTAATATATGGGTTGCAGGTCTTTCGGATCAGCAGATCGAGGAGAAACTCACCGGTTTGGTCAAGGAGTCTTCATAGCGACAACACCATTATCGTATATCCATCCGTCAACGTTTATGCATTCCGTGTTGTTTCCCGTTTCCGCCATTGTATCTATAGATGAATTCAAAATTTTATTCGGCCAATCCTTGATTTACATTTGCACTGCTATCTACAAACTGCTGCTGTTGGCAACCTCCCCGAATCTATACTGCGCCCAGCTCAGACTCCCCTCTCCCAGGGTCCATAATCTCTTTGCGCGATCCTCACCCGCAGCTCCAGCTCCGATGTGAATCGGAAGCAGATGGTCAAAGTACGGATGGGCCTGTCTCGCATCAGGCCGCTTCAACAACTCCGACATGGCTTTCTCGCGGTCTTCAGGGGCGGTGGTTACTGCGTTTTTGAGCGCTTCGTCGAAGCTAGCGGTATATGGAAGCGGTCTGGGGTCCCCAAAGCTGTACATCATATCGCGCAGGTTGTGAACTGCCATACCAGACGCGATGATGAGGACGTCATCGTCCCGAAGGTGTGAGACTGCCTGCCCGAGACGGTAGTGCTGAACTGGGTCCTCAGTCTTGAAGAGCGAGACTTGCACAATGGGGACATTCAACGGGTTCTTATCGGGTTCGAATGCTGCCGGGGTTAGCATGACATGTGCGCATGTCAAATGTGAAGAATGGATACTCACCACACTTAAAACTCGCCCAAACACCATGATCCAACCCCCTCTTTACCCCCTCGGCCTTAATCCCCGCCGCACCAAGCGCATCAAGCACCTTCTTCGAAACCTCCGCACTTCCCACATTCGGATATTTCTCTTTATAATAGTGGCTCGGGAAGCCATAGAAGCTATCCTCATCAGCGCCAAAATTCACTTTACCAACACGTTAAACCAGGGGAAAAGAAACGCACTCATAAATCAAATCCGTAATCTCCGCCGTATTCACCTGGATCGTATCCCGAGACGCCTGCCAATGCGCCGAGAAGACCACCACAGCGCGAGGTTTGACCTTTGTCGTGATCTCGCGGCCTATCTGGCCGAGCTTTTTGTAGGCGGGGTGGTCGACTTGGTACATGACGTTTGGCTGGGATCGTTAGCTACCTTTAAACCGGGATAATGATCTTGCATTTGGGAATAGACATACACCACCATGACTTAGAAAGTAAACCGGTGTCCGCATCTTGACCTCGTCCGCAGAAAGCGCTGAACTCGAGAACCCTTGAACCGCAGGAGTGGTCTGTCGTAATAAAGAAGAAGGTCGAGAAGAGACAACTCCTCCCCCGAAGATCCGACGTAATCCGAACAAACCAGCTGTGTCTTCGTTTCCAAAGAAAGCAGCTATAGTTATCGCCGCGAGTAGAGCGACAATCGAAGCGAGTAGAACCGTTGTACTCGTCGATCTAGAAGTATGCGTGTTTGGATGGTGCTGGTTGGGTGTTGTGCTGGGGTTGGTTTGGGGAGACATATATAATCTGTATTTGGCAGGGGTTGGGGGCTTGTCTCTCTTTATAAGATACAAAAGAAAATGAGCTTAACTATAAGGGCAATGGATGAGAAATACTCGTAGAATTGCTGGTTGAGTCGGCATTTGAGCGTGATATGTCAGCGGGGAGCGGAATTCGGCCGCGCCAGACTGTGTATAAGAAAAGCCGGAGGACTCGGAAGGTCAGGAACCACATAATATTATTAATTATTATATAGCATGCTTTGGCTCTGGTCTTTGGATGCAAGTTGTAGATTCCATGTGCCTCTCAAAATCACATCGGAAGCAATGCACAGCAAACAGACAACATGGGAACAGATTAAACATACACCGAACCAACATTAACATCAAGCATCAATTCTCATTAGGTATGGTATGTAATTCTATAATCGCATCCAAGACAGTCAAGATAACCAGTAAAAAATATCGAAAGATAAGAAATGAATAGAAAGAAAGAGGAAAAAAGAAAGAAGAGAAGAGAAGGGTATATGCGAATGTAAACCATGACCATCACAAAACATAATCACATCACAACACAGTCCCCTTCGTTTGGATTTTGTCGGTTAACAGCAGACCGAGAAAGACGCGTCTTCTGCATCCGGCTGCCGCCCTTCTTGAGTTCTTCGAGGCGTTCCCGGGCTTTCGGGAATCCTTGGGCTGGACGTCGTTAGCATAACTATGCACGAGAAACTGTAATGGGGGAAAAAATGCTTACCAGCAGCCCGCCAATACCATCGCTTAGCATCATCCAAATTAGCCGTAACACCAATGCCAACCTCCGTAAAGTATCCCATAGCATACTCCGCCTTCGCCAAGCCAGCAGTAGCAGCTTTCCTAGCCCAGAGATACGCCTCCGTATCACTCTGCTGCAGAATGCCCTCCGAACCAGTCAAGTACCATCCACTCAACGCAAGCTCACTCTGATGCTCGCCCTGCGCCGCAGCATGCGTGTACCAGATGATACTCTGTCTCGGATCGACAGGACATCCCATAAGCCCGTACTCGTAAGCCGCAGCAAGCCGGAACTGCGAGAACTTGTACCCCAACTCACCGGCCTGGCAGAAGAGCTGTTTGGCGTATTCCTCGTCACGGACGACGATGTCGTTGGAACTGGCGTTGGCGTACATGAGGGCGAGTTCGTGGAGGGCGTGCGGGTTTTCTACATCTGCTTTTTCGGCAGCGCGCTTGAGCCAGGTTACTCCTTCGCGCGGGTTCTTGGTCTGGCCTAGCAGGCCTTTCAACATGATCATGCCCATTTTGTACATGGCGGGGGGGTCGCCTAGGGAGGCGGCACGTTTGTACCACTGGACGGCTTTGAAGGGGTCGCGTTTTGTGCCGCCGCCTTCTTCGTGGCCAATTTCGCAGCATACGGCTACACGGTAAGCGGCCTGGGCGTGGCCTGATTTGGCAGCGGAGTGGTATAGGTTGTATGCTTCTTTGTTGTCGACTTCGAGACCAAGCTGGCCTTGGCCGTAGCAGTCGGCAAGGTAGAATTGCGCGTCGCCATATCCGCTCGAGACCAGCTTCTTCACGATCTTGTATGCATCCATGACATACTTCTCTCGCGCCTTGGTCTTGCCTTTCGCGTCCAGATGCGCCTCATCGACAAGTACAGTAGCCGCTTCCACCATCTTCTGCGCAAGCAAGAGATGGGTCGCCTGGTCAGACGACTTCTTCTTCACTGCCAACTGCAACTCCTCCAGTTCCTGACGAGTGACCGGCTTAGCAAACGGACCCATATCTTGCTGCGGGGGTGCCGAAGTAGGTGACGTCGGGCCGTTGGGAGCGCCGGCATACTGTCGCACCGGCGCCGGCTTGCCTCCATCGTGACCCGGACGGAACGGAACTGGATGGTGCGGCAGCGCGTCAGGGTTCTGCTGCGGATCCACAGCCTCCATCTCGTTCGCCATGGCCGGTTGGTTCATGCGATACGGGCGTGGCGGGCCACCACCACCAGCGGAATATCCTGGCATGGTATTGCTGTGGCTATCCTGGCGGTGCGGGAAAGGATAGCCCGGAACCGATTCTCCGTAAGCGTCTGGTGGGCTGTTGTGACTGTAACCACTCCTGTCACCCCCAGGGGAAATAGGGTGAGGTTCGCTGGGAAGATCAAATTGGAACCCAGCGTTCGCGAACTGGTTCGGCGCGTTAGTATCCGGGGAGACGGGTGCTGAGTGCGAGCCAGCGGAGTGCGGGGTGAACGCTGCGTATGGCCCGGGTGGTTTCGACTCAGTCGGGGTCTTGGGTGTCAGTTTCGGTCCCTCGAGTCCTGGCAGGCTCTCATCGACCGACCCGCCCTTCGCATCTGGCATCGCATCGAAGTTGGGCATGTCCGGGTCATCAGGTGCGGATCCATAGTAGCTGTCCAACAAATCGTCCGTGTCGTGGCTATCCCCAGCGGGTTCGCCGTGCATAGGTCCAGCGATTTCCAAAGGCGCCGTTGCGCTTCGGTTGATAGGCGCCATTGGCATTGGCGGCGGGCCATTGGCGTCGGTATAGGAGCGGTCATACGGCCGGGTAGGCGCCGGGCGTCCAGCGCTAGCAGACCTCATCGCAGGGCCAGGGTAGGGACCCCTTCCTCGGCCTGGGGAGTCTGGCGGCGGACCCAGTCGTCTTCCGTTCGACGTGTGCGGTCGATCGGGCACTCCCCTGGGTGGAGGTCCATTGATATTCATTGCGGCCATGCCTCGTTCAACGGGGGGCGGTACAGAGCCTTTACGCGGTCGTTCTCTCCCAGGGAAGTGAGGGTACGGATTGTCGTAGGGTGATCTGTCTGATGGCGGCGGACGACGCGGACCTAGCATTGTTACCAGGTGCGTTTCTCTCTGGAGATGGACCTACTCACCTGGTCTCATTCCACCCCGTCTTGGAGGGGGGGGTCTCCTACTACTGCTGGAGCTGCTGCTACTACTTCCATACCCGCGCGGAGGATATCCATATCCTCCGTGATCCATGGGAGGTGGTCCGCGAGGAGGTCGCGGGGCTCCTCGAGGGGGCCCATACGACCGAGGAGTCGCATAATCAGCACCACCACCGCCGCCGCCATAATAATCATATCCAGCATCACCATATTGGTAGCCGTCATCATATCCATAATCGTAGTATCCGTCAGCAGGTGCCGGGCCTGGGGGAGGATGACCATAGTTCCTCATAGGAGGTTGTCTCTGCGGCGGCGGGCGTTGGGGGTAAGCCATGGCGCCAATGTTTGTTCTCTATTTTCTTTGTTTCAATCGACTTTTGCCAGTATGTAGGCGCCCTAGGGAAAGGGGGGTGCAATAAGAGGGAACAAGTGAATGTATCCGAACAGGCCGTTGTCGGGCGCGCGCGCGCGCGTTTCAGGGCTGGTTGGAATGCGTACGGAGAGGTCGAGCCGCAGGAGGAATGACCGGAATCGCGGGTTCTCAGTGGTACATTAGAGACAGCGCAAGGGAACACGCGAGTGAGAGCCTGTAACACGCCCTAGACCACCATTGTCCGTCAGTTGAATGTTTGGCGCAAGCTGTGGGCGCAGATGCGATCGGGGAATTGTGGAGGATTGCGGGTTGGATTGGGAAGACTCACGCGGTCCAAGCAGTAAAGATACTAGTAACGATAACAATAGAGCTGTCTCTGGGTCATAAGAATAGGAGGATATCGGGTAGGGTGCGCCCCGTGGAGAGTTGTCGGAGGGACGTCGGAGAGGTGGAGGAGGGGACAGAACAAGAAGAGAAGGCAGAGAAGAGGTGCTCTAATAAAGTAATAATAATGACAATTCACATGAAGAGAAATAAGAAAAAAAAAAAAGAAAGAACAACAAATAGCCCTGAACACCAACAGCAGCAAGAATTCTGGATCAGAAATTTAACTGTGCCAGTCAGGGTCTACTTGTACCAAGGGACGGCCACCACCAGCCTAATAAATATGGCTGATTGCGATAAACCGCCCATAATACCCGACACAGTCAGTCTGTCAGATCCAAAGCACCTGTTCCTGTTGATCCTCCTAAATTTCCCTGTATTAGCATAGCTCATTAGCGCTCACAGCAAACATACAGCACTTGTCCATACATACAGGGGACAACTGTACAGTATGCGCTGGCTACATCTGCAAATCACATACATCGCAATCAAACATGAAGCAGCACAAAACAAAATAATAAAACAAAACAATGTATATTCCTCGACAGGGTTTCCGCATATAGTAACTGTCTAACTGTCTTCCTGCGCCACAGATGGTTCCCGTATCCATACACCAGCCACGTTTCAGCCACTTCAGCGCCCGTCATCCATTGTCATCATCTCTAATTCTAGCGTTCCGATACGCCGCTCTACTTAATTTTCCACAGCTGATCTGAATCACCTTGAAACATACCCATTCGCATCCCTGAGGCACTATCGCACTAATTCTACACACATCATGTCCAGAGGATCCGGGGTAACCTGGCTGAAAATGCTGGGAACGTACGTCACTCACCCACTCACCCACCAACTTCTAGGCAAACAAAGACACAATCTAACATGACCATTCTCATGATAGTGCAATCGTCCTCTGCGTCGGTGGCCCAGCCCTCGTCCAGGCCATCCGCCCAACAGATGAAGAACTCTTCAAGCGCTACAACCCCGAGCTCCAGAAGCGCAGTTTGGAAGAAGGCGATCGTCGCGCGCAGGAATTCGATGCTTACGTCAATCGGTTAAAGGAGTGGTCGAAGTCGGATAAGTCGAGTGCGTCCTTCCCTCAAATATATGTGTTGATTGGTCTGGTATTATGGGTGGTGGCTGACGGTCAATGCGATGCAGTTTGGTTCGCCGCAAAGGAGCAAGAGCAGCAACGGACGCAGCAGGCGGTTGATACGCCGCGGACAAAGCCAAATGACGAGGCGAGGATACAGCGCGAGGAGATGCGGAAGGAGTTGTTGGGTGAGAAATAGGGTCTGTTGGATGTCCGTCGTGTTTCCATATGACAAGAGCCGCGAGTACCGTCCTATGATTTGACGGAGGAATTGGGGCTTATGTCTCTGATATTGTATTATACCCGGTGGTGGGCTTGTACTATTACAGCTTGATCGTTACGATTTATGTGCATGATTGCAAAGGGTTCTGGGAATGGTCTTAGAAAAGTTCGGTTGATTTCTTCATCAAATCGTCCATTTGTTTCAAATACATTAATTGCACTTGACTCAGACAGTAAGAACGAGAAAATTCCGAACGCCGAGTCCATATCAACCCTAGATCCCGAGTACTATCTATCATGACTTTTCCATAACTTTTCCCGCCATAAATCACATAAATATGAACAAAACATGGTACCATAAATAGAAAAATAAGCTGTTAACAGATGAAAAAGAAATTGTACAAACCGATAACTGTCAAGACTCCCACATCATATTCGTACAATATCCATCACATCAGAAACGAAACTCACGGCAACCGCATGGAAATCTCCCCATACCGATAAAGCACCCCATGCTCCTCACTACTCTGATCTTCGTACTCCTCCTGATGGACCTCAAGAAAGCCCTTCGTAGCAAGAGTAAGGACGTTCATGAGTGCATGCGTAGCCACAGTGCGAGTCGTTTCCTTCGGCGGCAGAAGAGTCGAGAATGTAATTTCTTTCACTCCGGAGACTTGACGAGGTGGAGTTGAAAATCCTGTCATCTCTTCGTCTCCGTCTTCTTGGGTCTCTGGCTGCTGCTCAGGCAGATCGAGCGACTGCGCGTACATAAAGTCGAGAAAGTTCACGGTATCCTGATCGAGGGATGACTGGAGAACTTGTTCCTGTGAGTAGCGCTGCTGGCTATCGGTACCATGGGTGTTAGTTCTAGCCCTCTTTTGCGCGGAAGCATTCACGCCGTCATCATTGCGAAGCATGACATTCCCATCACCATCAACCTCAGCCTGCAAGTAATGACTCAGATCAAAGTCTCCATATACATCAATATCCCCCTCAAGACCCTCAAGACCATTCAATGACTCGAGATCATAAGAAAACCCTCGACCAGCGAGGGGGCTAGCACTCGTGAGTCGGCTTCGGGGTCTACCGAATCCTGGCAGCTGGATAATCGCCGGCTCGGACATGCCGCGGGATGATAATTCACTGACGCTTCCGAGCCCGCGGAAGATATTCGCAGATGAGCCGTGGCGGGAGCTCTGGACTGAGGCTGTGATGTTCCAGGGCATCTGGGAGTTGTCATCGCGGAGTGCGGGTGAGGCGTTGCGGCCGATTTCGACTTCCTAGAGTTCAAGGTTAGATCTATTTAGAAGGATAAAGGGAGGGTACAAACATCACCACCACGCCCGATCTGATCTTCACTTTCTCCCCTAGCACGGACTCGCCTTCCCTCTTCATCGGAATCACCTTCATCATCATCCGCGCAACGTGTTCGCTTTCGCGCTTTCCGCTTCTCCTGAGGGTTAAGAGCAGCACATAACTCATCACCAGAAAACACCTGCAAAGGATGCGGCATCTGGGACGCACCCAGACCAACGCCCACAGAACCGATTCCCAGACCGAAAACCCAGAAGACGGCGTTCTTCTTCGCCTGAGCGGGTATTTTGTTGCTCTGCTTCTGCTTGAGTATAGCAGCCATGTTCTTCATGTATTCGTTGTTGATTTGTGCTAGTTCGGTATTGCGTAGGGCTGTTTGGTTGTCTGCTGGTACGACTCTTGGTGCTCTGCGAGACTGCCGCGCTGTAACTGCTTGTTCGTCTTGGTTATTTTCGGGCTCATACGCTGGTGAGCTCTCAAAAGGCTGTCTGGATTTAGCGGGTTGCATGGGGGTCGCGGCGTTGTGAGCGTGGGTATCGCGGCCTTCGTCGTTGTCTACTAGCATTGGCTGAAAGTCGTTAGCTCAATCCACCTTCCTCTAAAATTGAAGAAGAAGAAAAAGTACCTGATAATCCCACGAAATATCATTATCTCCCGTCCCAGGAAGAGGCGTCTCACTCAAGTGCCTTCCACCAAACTGATCACGCAGGATGTTCGAGCGACGCTCCCGCTCCCCAGAAAGTTCAATAATATTTCCATCCTCGTCAAACTCGAAATCAGGCTGCAACAACACTCCAGCTTCATCGTCCAATGCCCCCGCAGCAATCCTGCCCAGAGGCCTTCGTTGGATAGAGCCACTGGTCTCGGACTGCGAGCCAAACCCACCAAAGTCTCTCATGATATCTTCAGACGAAAGGTCGAGTTGGAGGCTGAGATTCTCCGGGAGGGTTTGGCTGAGGTCTGGAAACTTGGTCCATGGGAAGCTGTTATGACGGCTTGTGTCTGCTTGTGGCTCGAGGGTAATCTTGGAGAGGTCGATTCCAAGTCCGGGGAGGTTGATTTCGGGTACGAAAGACGGATCATCGGGGAGGACGAGCTGGTCGGGTCTGTGGCCCACGTTCAATCAGTAGGAGATCTTAAGATTGAGGATCAGGTCAAAATACCTCGCCTTTCCAGCAGCAGGATCCAGTCCTCCTCCAGGCAAGACCTTCAACATTGCCCTCATCTTGTCATGCATCGCCTGCACATCAGTGAGAGTATAACTACATTGCTGACTGTAAACTCTTGACACTCCGTACCTAGTCTTGTCAGTATTGTGCGTTAGCTCTATATCTTCTGGCAAGTTAGTGCTTACAGCAAGTTTCCCTGCAGTCTCAACGCCATTGGAGCTTCAGGGTTCGTAATGACGTTACAAGCCCTAGACACATCGACATCCAAGATCGCCTTCTTATTCAGCCTTTTTGCAATCGATCTGGAACCTAGGGTTGCGACGAGCCTGTGGCTGTTATTACCCTGTCCAAGCTTCCTTGACAGGTGGGAACAGGAGGACGTACCAGATCGTAGCGACCCCATGCTCAGGGGAGGTAAGAACTAAAGTAGAGGAAACAATTAGCAATCATTGTTCGTGTTTAATTCCATAAACAGCACCAGAAGTTTCACTTGCGGAGCTCCAAGAGTCGAAGGCGGGACTCACTATCATAACTGTAGAACATCCTGATTGACCCTCCTACCCGACGCGTCGCGTTCTACCTGTCAAACCCAGCACGTCTTCGAGTATTCAGTAGAAAGCTCGCGAAATAAGATAAAAGAACGCGCGAGGAATTGTTACCTCGTAGAAAAATGTTGAGATATCCGTCTCGTATCTCGAAGCTCGAATCGTTTCTGTTGGTATCTCACTGACAGTCAGACCATGGGTTGGTCAGCAAAATTCGACGAAAGGATTCCTTCAGTCAAAACGTGCAGGATAAAGATAGGATACGTACTTGATCTCTCAACTGCAGCAGTGGTCCACGGAGCTTGACCTTGGGAAGATGGGATGAAATCCCCAGAACCTCGACCTCAGGTGAGAGGCGGCCCAATTCACTTGGTAACAGCTTCAATCTTATAAAAAGCGTATCTAGATAAGTTTAGACGATAAACACAATACTCGTTCAATGTCTCCTGTGGTGGAGATGGAAAGGTGAGGAAGTTGGGATGGGTGGTTGAAGGTGGGCGAAGGAGAAAGTGGGAGATGGAGGTCGATAGGGTTGTGCTTTTGCGCGCCGCTGATGGTGCACCACCCGCAAATGCCCTCAAATTGGCGCAGTACATATTTGCCCGTCAATATTCTGGATTAGAATACAGTGAATATCCGAATAACACCAAGAATTAGTCTAAATCGGACGCCAATAGATAGAAGGCAGGTCAAATAACACATCATGAAGACATCTCAGTTGGCTATGGAAAAGTACCTGTAAAATAAAACATGACACAAAAGAAGAAAAACTTCCCCTTATACAAATCTCCAACCCATAGCAACCGATAAAGATGCACGCAGGGTATGAGATGCAACAAAAAAGAAAAAAGAACACCCAGAATGGATTGAATCAGACATCTCGACTCCGAATTTTGCTCTTTCAAACAAAGGAAAGAAAAACCAAAATATGAAAAACACATGGGCATATTCGACATATTGCACAAGCCCTATCCTCCTACTATAACATGTCTATATAGTTGATCGCACCAGGAAATGAGACATTTAGTCGAGCGGGATACCCTCGTACTCGCCGTAGCCAAGGGCCAGGTTCATGTTCTCTGTAGGGCTTAATTAGCATTTGAAAATTATCAACCAGAAAGCGCGAAAACTTACGGAGACATTGGGTGGCGGCACCCTTGAGCAGGTTGTCAATGGTAGCACACACAACAACCCGCTTGCCGCTGGAGTGGACAGCGAATCCACCAACTTCAACGCCGTGACGGCCAGCAATGTCCTTGACGAGAGGGGGCTCGCCAACAATCTTCACAAGCTTCTCACCAGCATAGCGGTCCTGGTAGAGGTTGCGGATGTCACGAGAGGTCATCTCCTGCTTCAGAGGAATGCTAATGGTGTGCTAGATAAAAGTCAGCACAGAAACCGAAACAACTGGAAGCTTAAGAGGAACATACGTGAATACCCTGGAACCAAACAGCAACGTGAGGAATGAAAGCAATGCTGGTATCAAGCTGGGTGCTGATTTCGCGCTCGTGGATGTGGTCAGTCAAGCTGTAAGGAATAATGTTGTTGGTCAAGAAGTTAACGTCGTTCTTCGGGCTAGGCTTGGTACCAGCGCCGGAGTATCCCGAAACACCAAAGGCGGTGGGCTGGCCACCGAGGAAGGGAACCAGAGGAGCAATTCCGACTTGAGCAGCGGTAGCATAGCATCCAGGGTTGGAAATGCGGGTTGCCTGAGCGATCTGGGACCGGTTAACCAACTCAGGGAGACCGTAGGTCCAGTTGCTGTCGAAACGGTAGTCGGCGCTCAGGTCGACAATGACGTTGCCCTTCTCAGAGCCCTGGTTCACAGCATCAACGAACGGCGCGCAGACACCGTTAGGCAGAGCCATAACCCAGCAGTCCACATCACCGTTCTCCGACATGCGCTTCACATCCTCTGGACTCAGGTTCTCGTAGATGACCTCACGCTTTTCGTAGCCCTGAAGCTTCTTGCCGGCGAGCTCACGAGATGAGACATGGCGCAGGTCCAAGTGAGGGTGGGCGTTGATCAAGCTGATGAGTGCTTGACCGGTGTAGCCACGGGCACCAATAAGAGCAACCTTGGAGGGCTGAGTGTTGGAGTTGTTCTTCTCACCAAGGGGAGGGTTCGGGTTCGTGGTGGCGTACGTCCGGGTGCCGTTCAAAGTCGGACGGAAGGACGACCGGGCAGCGCGCAGGGCATTAGTGGTGGTCGAGAAGGTACGGGTCTGCTCGAGAGAGGCGGCGCTGGCGCCGACACCCTTACCCAGCTTGGCAGCAACCTGAGCAGCGCGGACGAGGCGAGACTCGAGGTTGACCTCACCGAACATGTCACGGCCGTGCTTGTTGAATTCCTGCACCAACTGCTTGACCTCGTCCCCGTTCTCGATGCCGTACCAGAAGAGCACGTCTCCGTCGCGGCTCAGGCTACCATCGGCCTTGTCGAAGAACCAGGTCAGGTTCTCGTCGTCTTCCTTAACAGTCCACGCCATCTTAGGGAAGTCCTTGCGGACGGCAGCAAGCACATTGTCGGCGACGTTGCTCAACCAGCCGGCCTTGGTGATGGTGAAGGTAGAGAGATGGGCCAAGGAGGAGCCCTGTTGAGGGGGCAGCGCCACGGCCAGTGCCTCCATGGGCTCATCATAGTACGCCTTGAACTCCCGTTCGTTCAGGCCGTCGACGTAGCGGTCGACGGTGGCGCGCGCATCCAGACCCTCACGGTCCCGGACGAGAACATCCTTGAAGCTCTGCAGATCCTCGAACTGCGAGAGGGCGGTCTTGGTGTGCACCTTGTTGCCACGGCGAATCAAAGTTCCAGCACCCGAGTCGGTGAACAGCTCCTTCTGCAGATCGGCCGGGTGGATGATGGCGACACTGGAGGAGCGGGGCAGGTCGTTGAGAAGGTCCTTCATCTCCTTGATCTTGAGACGAGTGCCGTGGCGCACCCACCACTGGGACATCAGGTGTTCGTATTCCTCATCAAGGTTGATGGCGGAGATCTTCTCACCCGTGTCGCCGTTGAACAGACCACCCTTCTCAGCCAAATAGACGATCTTAAGCGGCTGGAGGGAGCGCGCGAGCTCACCGGCCGCGACGTCTGCGTTAACGTTGAGAACCTGACCGTCGGGCGTCTCGGCCATGGAGGTCAGGATGGGGAGGCATCCGGCCTCGATGGCGGACTCAATCGGCTTGCGGTCGACGCCATTAATCTTTCCGACCAAGTTGTACTTTTCCTTGTCAAGGTAGTCGGCAGAAAACACACCGGCTGTGAGCGGGCGGGCTCTCACTCCCATCCGTTCCAGCTCCTCAGTCAACTTCAAGTTTTCCTCCATAAACAGCTTCCGAGCCAGCGCCAATGTCTTGCCGTCCGTTACCCGGATTCCACCCTCGAATTGTGGTTCAACGCCTGCCTCCTCCAACATGCGGTTCAGCTGCGGGCCTGCTCCATGGACGACGATCGGATAAAGTCCCACATGGTTAAGGAAGGCCAAGGCGGACGAGAGGGTTTGCAGGTGATCGGTAATAATAGCACCACCGACCTTGATGACGGCGAATTGCTGGGAGGACACCGAAGTGAAGTGCGAAAGGTACTGCTGAACCTCGCGCTTGGACCCAATGTTACTCAACAACTGCACGACAGTGGACCGAGTCGACGACAGCTGGGGATCGGCCGCACGAGAGTAGTGACGGTTCTGCAGCAACGGCGTCGCAGAAGCTTTCAGGGCATGACGAGAGGACGGAGAGCTGAGTCTGGCAGGAGAAACGGCGTGTGATGTGGGAAGAGCGCGGAGGGGCTTGCTGGAGGCTCTCCGCACGGCGGTGCGAAGCGACAGCATCTTGGTAATGTTGTTCCTCTCTTTCTTCTCAACTACCTAGCATGCGGCAACTCGATTGAATGAAGTGTCAAGTAGGAGAACTAGGTGAATTGAGAGAAAAATATGTTAGAAAAGAGAACTGTGTGGGTGGGTTGAGGTTGAGTGGCGGTTAAGAAGAGGTTCGGAAGAAAAAAAGACTTTAAAGTGCGGAGGGAGCGGGATTATTCCCACCAAAGGGAGCCCGCGATAAGCCCGTTTTTTCGGCCGGAGATGTTGGTACAGGTGGAAATCTTGGAGACAATTGCGTTCATTCGGGGATTTTATAGAGTATTTCACTCACCAGAGACACTCCTCTTACGCGTGTTCTCCTTCTTCTCTGTGGGAAATTCCCTGGGACCAATGCGACGACTGGAAGTGGGAGAAAGGAACGAGACCCTGGCGCGGTGCCTGAGTGGCAATTAGTAAAGAGCGTGGAATGGATTGGTCTCGTAAAAAAAAGAAATAAGAGAAAGAGAAGAAGAAGAAGAAGCAAAGAGTAGGGAAATAAAAAAATAATATAAAAATGTCAGTGCTCGGTTGCGACTTTCGGAGCCGGGCACGATCTGACTCCCACGGCGTGACTCAATGGGGGTAATTATACAGAGTAGCTAGCTGCTCTTAGCAGCGGAGTAGAAAGCAATGCAAGCCTCTCAGTCTATCCCAGAATTAAATACGGTCTTATTATAACTCAACTACAATACTTCTACAGAGACAGAGTACTCCGTACCACTGCAGTGTACGAACTAGGCACTTCATATCAGATGGCCGCCGGCACTCTCATTTGCTCTTCAATCCCACTCACTTTCAAAATCCCCATCGGGCTATGAATTTTTCGCCGGCAAAACTAGTCCTAATTGATTATCAGATCTTCCCTAGCTATTTAGCTACGTAATGAGAATCACGGGTATTAATCAACGCCAGACTCTCCACTTTCGCGCGGAAGTTGGCCCGGCTAAGCTACAAGTATAAAATCTCCGAAGCGAATATCAAGAAGCTCCCGTTTACATAGTACCATTCTGTTTGGTTCTCTTCATTTTCAATACCCTCTCCTGTTTTGTTTCTTTTATTTTGTCTTCATGTAATCTTCAATTAAGTTGGGGATGAAGGGTTCTACTGTAAGAAGACCAGCAAATGGGGTTTTCCAGAGTAAACAGTTAAGATGGTAATATTGGCTTCGCTTATTCTTACTAAAGTAATTACGAATTCCTCGTCTCGGTAAATCAAGTCAGAATTTCACCTATCATAAGAGGTATCCATATTCACTGTTTGAACTATCATGAGTTCAGCATGTGGCGGCAGTGTAATGAATAAGCTCCCCAGCAAACGAAGGCTCACACCTTTGAGTCCAGTCGATTTCTTTTTCCTCTTACCTTCTTCCTGTTTTTTTTTTTTTTTTTTTTTTTT